TAATAAATCTGACTGCAATTTCTGGATAGTACTTCTTGAATTGCTACAAGTTTTAGCAGATCCAGTTGATGCGCGAAAGTGCAGAACCTGCAGAGTAAGCTCCAAAAGTTTAAAAGCATTCTGGTTGGCATCGTCATTAACCGCACCAACATCAGTCTTCGGAGCCCACGTGCAGGCCCTGCACATTCCAGCGCGGTCAAATGGAAACACTCTGACCGCCTATTACATCATCATGCCGTCATGCACCCTGTCATTGGCTTGTCGCCCTACCAGCCCCACCCCTGGCACCCGAGCCCATCCTGACCAGGACCATAATTATATAAGGCGCCCCTCCACACCGTACCAGTCAATAGTCTACCAGCATTGAATTTGCTACAGTGGGCATAGTGTTGTATTGTACAATATAAAGGCCAATACCATACGGGTGTGTTGCCTATTCACTGTAGGGACACATAGGTATTTAATAAAGGTTACAGGTAGAGCATAGCTGCACAGGTACACGTACAGGAAACTCTATGTTGCGACAGGAACCACGAGAAGACTTAATGCTGCGCTGTTTTACATAGTTGTTGCCTTGTTGGTTAATGCAGTGCCGGCGTGTTGCCGTCTACGTACTTGGTTGTTTGGTTATTATTTTATATACTTCTATGGAACGTTTCGTACTAAAGAAAAAAATGCAACGTTTTTTTCCTTCTTGTAGTCACTGTAGTCATCTGTAGACAACCTGTAGACACCCTGTAGACAATCTGTATACATCCTAAGAACCAGGTGACTACAGTATGTCTACAGTGCCGTCTACGGGCTGTCTACCGATGACTTCCGGTGTTTACAGGTAGAACATTGGGGTAAACCTGAAAAGGGCTGCCTGTATACAGCAGTAGACATCCGTAGACAACCTGTAGACACCGTTGTAGACACTCTGTATACATCCTAAGAAACCAGGTGACTACCGATAGGTTTACAGCCTGTATACAGATGTCTACTGTGACTACAAGAAGAGAAAAAACGATTCACTTTTTTTCTTTGGTACGAAACGTGCCACAGGTGGTTATTTTGTGGTTGTACTGGACGTTTATATAGCATAGCATTTTTTTATATTTTGTTTTGACGCGGGTGTTTTATTTTTGTAGGGCTACCCTCTCAGGCATCGCTAGTGTTGGGCCGGCCCGGCCCAGGGCCGGCCCAACACCGTTTGAGCCGCGGCTAAGCCGGCTTCGGCTGAGCCGGCTCGACCCAAAATTGAAGCCGTAGCCGATGCTAGCCGAGCCGATTGAGCCGGCTCGGAGTGTCAGCCAGCCGCGAGCCAGCCGTAAGCCGATGTCGGCTAACGGCTTGCGCATTGTGCGCGAAAATGTGTTGGAAAGTTTATTTTTAGCTCTTTTGGCCCGTTCAAAGCCGATTTAGAGACTTGAAAAATCGACTATCTTGTAAAAAAAGTGCTGAATTTTTGTTTCGGAGACCTTTTTTTCCAATAAAAACTGATGAAAAATAGTTTTCGCTTAAGAGAGAACAGAAAAAAGTGCTTTTCAGTGAAAAAGTACTTTTGTTTTCCCGCGCTAAAAACTGTCGGCTAAGCCGCCTCGGAGTCGGCTTAGCCGGCTCGCATTCAGAGCTGAGCCGTTAGAGCCGGCCCAGGTAGGTGAGCCGATACTTTCGAGCCGGCTCGCTATTTTAGCCAGCCGCAGCCAGCCGATAAGCCATTAAGCCAGCCGTTGCCATCTCTACACTATCGGATGTCAGGCGAGGCGGTGACTATTGCGGACTTTGAAATAAACAACCGAACAGTTATGTTAAATGTTTCTGTTTGGCTAAGGAACGTGCGTTGTATATATCTATTTGTAACGTGCGTATATGGGTATACCTGATGAAAGTATGCAGCGTTACATTCCTAATTTCCTGCATTACGAGTACTGTTCTTATATTATTCGAGAAGCTGGTTCACGTCTCGTTATTAAACTTATTCCGTTCTCCCCATAAACTTTCAACGTCTTATTCCGTTCTTCCCATAAACTTTCAACGCCAACCGTCCATAATAGATGTCTTGCGGCAATGGGTGTTGCGGTCAGTGTGGGACATATAATCCATCAAACCGTCACAAGTTTGTCGGATATTCTGGAAGAGAGAAATGTTTCCGGACGGGCTCGTACCAAGAACACCGATGCCATCCGGATGTCGCATAAAAGAGCTATGGATGATATGTAACGACGTTTCGAAACCAGCTCAGCAAATAATCGACGGAAACACGAAAGAGAAATGAATAGGCTGCGTCATGCTGCATCCGCTAATCGGGAGCGTCTGGAACGGAAATTCCAGCGCGACCAGGAAGTAATGCAACGGAAATGGGCGGCTGAGCGAGAGCGTTACGACGAACGTGTCAACAATCTGGTAAAAAATATACAGCAGGCTGAGCAACGAGCGTAAACACTAGCCGCGCAAATCGAGAGGCCCGCGCGGGATCGCGCACGAAAAGTGGCTTTCATTAACGGGCTGAACTTGCGTATTCGGTAAACGGAGTCGCTTTTGCTGGTAGGAACCAAAGGAACCGGAAAGAGCACGTTCTTATGGTTGCTTAATAAAGGTGACCAACCGAAACGGACAACAAGTGATGGGACCGGCGAAATTCTTCACGTAGAAGGGTATGTTGATTCCATTGGGCTGCGGGGATGGACGCCGGAAGACCTGTGGAAACTGTTGGTTCTCCTGATTTATCACGGGATGCCGAAAGATATAATCATATTCAGCAACGACCGTGTCGAGCTGCCGGTCACTACCCTCGGTCTGCTTGGCATCAATAACCCCATGTTTGTCATCATGTCCAGTGATTTTTGGAGAAATCACCAGCCACCCGGTGGTGGACGTCCAAGAATCGAATTAGTCGAAGACTGCCACGGTGTGCGCCGGGTCTTTCCTGAGTCCGATCTGGAACACGTTTACAATCTGCCGGTCCATCGTGACTTCGAAGAGTATCATCTAGGGACTTCGGTTACACATCACACTGATATCGAGGAGCTGGTTCAGAAGCGGGCGGATATTGGAGTTCAACCGTTCCGATTTCTAATGACAAACTGGGCAGTTACTTTCAGTTGAATAATGAGAATGATCCCCACTTAGAAGCCATATTTCGCCTCATCTGGATATATGAGAAGAAGTATAACCGAGATGCGTTAAGCTTCATGAATAATGCATCGCTCCAAGATTTCGCCGATGAAGGTGTGGTTTGCGTGCAAGTAATTTTATACGTGTCAAAGCTAAATTCTTAGAATGGTTATAAATTTCATAAAAAATAACTTTTACTACGAGAATTAATAACATTCTTCACGTACACAGGCAAGACGTAGTTACTGTAGTTGATTTGGTTTATCTTTCAAGATCATCTTGGCGAGTGTCCTTCACTCGCAAGTGCCGCTTTCTAACTGTTCGGTTTCCCTCCAGTTACTGGCAAATTTTCAGCTGATTTCGACGCACCATCGGACCATCCAGCGAAGCGCACCCCACTCAAGCTCGACTCGCGTCAGTAAGTCATTTTTTTCGTAGCGTCAGTAAGTTTTTTCGTAGCGGTATAAGAAGGTCTATCTTTCAGCAGGGCCATCGCAGCAACGCAGACGTCCCTAAATGCACGAACAAAATGTCGCAGTTCATCGGCAAGTTACCTGAGATGCCTGTCGAAGCACCCCGATTACCGGTACCCGTTTTAAATGCCTTACATGCCCTGACTATGATCTGTGTGAGACATGCCTAGACACTCACCATCGCCAACATGACTTTTCTGCTATTCGTAAACCCCGGGTCGAACTGGTGAGCGAGAACTAACGGATGTACTAAATTATGCATTCCACACCGCTGCACTGTATGCTAATACCAGGCGTTTTTGCAGTCCGCCAAATGCCGGACGGTGTACGCAAAATTTTGCGCCAACGGGTCAGTGGGACTGTTGGAGCCGGTGCGGATGGAGATGACCAGTCATCCGTCCGTTCGATGTGATATCTGCGATGAAAACCCCATTGTCGGCATGCGCTTTAAATGCCTTGTATGTCAGAACTACGATTTATGCGGAACATGTTTTGCTGAATACCAACATGCTGAACACGACTTTTTGGTTATCCAGATTCCAGACACCACACCGAGACCGAAAATTGGTAAAATAAAGTTTTTACTGGTTCTTGTAAAGCTCCCGTATGCCGACGTTTGTTTGCTTGTATCAAAGGCAGTCATGATGTTTACTGTACACATGTCTTTTTATGACAGATCGACCTCTGGAGAAAGGTGTACGCTTTCGAGATGCCAGGACCAGGTATGGACCATATGTTATGATTTTTCGACTACAGGCACTAGAGTTTTCATCCATACTTCTAGCACCCAAATTTGTGTCAAGCAGAATTTTTTCAATGCAGGTTTTCGTGACGAAAACGACACCGACGGTGATGATGATGACACTGACGAAGGCGGAAGAATTATCCGCATTTTGTCGCTCGCGCAATTACGTCTGATATAACCCTTTTTGCAATAAACATGAAGGGAGTTTTTAGCTACGTAGGAACAAAATTTTAGCGCATTTCTTTAGAGTTGTAAAGTTAAATTCTGGTTTGATTAATAAATTTATCTGTACCGTACAGTAGTTACAGTACTTGTACATTCGAAAATGAAAAAAAGGTATCGTCCCGACAAGGTCACAGTATCGTTTTGGCTTTCGGTGGTGCGTACGTATATTTATTGCACAAATCAGGCTCGCTTATGTATGACTGCTAGGTAGGAATATTTATCGCAGTGGAAGCCAAGCTGGCTTCTTGTATAAAAATGCAGTTTAAAAACCGTGACTCGTAAGCGAGCGAACATGTAGAAAGATTGTTCAAAGTGATTAGATCCGTGCCTTAAATGTCAGATTTACAGCGAAGAGAAACCATTAAATTGTGGTCATATATAGTGTTACTCATCATATTAAGATAGCTGTTTGCTACAGTAAAGCAAAATAAAACGATATGCAGATATCGCATGCGGTCTTGGTATAAAAGTCGTATAGTTTAAAGCTTGAATAATAAGTTCCAATCATCAACAATAATGGGCGGAAATTCGGAAGGACTGCAGAAACTACGGTGTGCCTCCATTATCAAAGTGGCTTTGGAGCAGTACTGCTCATTGTGCTCTGTCTACAGGTGTACCGTAAGTGAAGCAAAAGTGTTCTCAGTAGCAAAATCAACGAACTTTGTGTATTGGTTTCGAAACTGCTAACTAAGGGGTGTCAAAACAGCCAAAGTATAAAAAACATTAATTTTAAGGTTCGGAAATTATTTAGATTATTGCGTGCGCACGATCAGCAATAAGTACAATTACAGAGTATTTAAACCGCATATTGTATAATGAAACCATGTTTGCGGTAAAAAAGTCTGCTTTCTCCAGAAAACCCTACAGGCGAAGAATGTTTACGCAACCTTCCCTTATTAGACAGAATAAGTTTTTCGTTAGCTGAACGCATCGCTGAAAGCATAATAAGAGTGGAGCTGAAAATTAGCGCCAAGTGTCCACTTGTTAAGTTTTCACATAGCGCTACGAGATGCGCGTAGGCTTTGTTACGAAACACGTGAATAACTAACTAAAATTGTTTAATATCGATTTCGAATAGCGATTCTTAATTTTTTGAATGAATTACCCTGCATATTGAATATACCCTGTTTATACCTTGCATCATGGACAAAAAAACTGTTTCTTTGATTTTGGTCTCAAACCTTCTGTCTGATCAGCAAAAAGCTGAGTTTCTATGCATCTGCAATGTGGAAAGACCGCTTCGGGTTCTCCTTAACTTAGACCAGCTCTCCGACGCAGATGTTTATGAATGGTTTCGATTTCGGAGGGAGCATTTAGAACGATTATTGCAGGCATTGCAGGTTCCCGAAATAATCCGCCTCGAAAACGGATCCCGTTATGATGGTATGGAAGCCCTGTGTGTTTTACTGCGACGTCTTGCATACCCTAATCGCTACACAGACATCAAGCACATTTTTGGGAGATCAAAACCTGAATTATCGATGATTTTTACCTGGATGTGTGAATTTATCAACGCGCAGTTCGGTCATCTTTTACTTAACTGGACCTGTGTTGGCTTACACGAGCAGATATGGACGAATTCGCGGCCGCCGTATACAGAAAGGGATGTCCTCTGGATGACGTCTGGGGCTTCAAAGACGGTACATTCCGCCCAACTTGTCGTCCTGGTGAGGATCAGAGAACAGTATATAGCGGCCACTATCGTCTTCATGGCATCAAATTCCAGAGCATTATGGCCCCTAACGGCATTGTGGTAAATCTGGTTGGGCCGTGGGTTGGACTTCGACACGATTCAGGCATACTAGCGGACAGTGGCCTACTACGTGCGCTGGAAACAAAAATGGAGCAAATGGGAAAAATTTTTCGCCTTTATGGAGACCCTGCTTATCCGATTTCGGCGTATCTCGAGGGTCCGTTTAAACCAGCAACAAATCAAATCGAGTACGATTTTAACGAAGCTATGTCACCGTGTCGTATCGCAGTTGAGTGGGGTTTCGGAGAAGTAGTCCAACAGTTTGCTTTCCTCGATTTTTGGAAAAATCTTAAAATATTTTTGCAGCCAGTTGGACTTCTCTACACAGTTGGAACTTTACTACTGAATTGTCGTGTCTGTTTGGGGTACGGGGGAAAAGTTGCTGATTATTTTTGTGTGGTCCCAGCGACCCTGGAAGTTCGCCTAAACAACAACAGAGAATAGACTGTTGATTTTCTGTGGAACTGTTTCTGTTAAGCAGCCATGAATCCATTTCGATATTTCTGTCCCATCTAGGTATTAAACGTACAGCGTGCCTATTCAAAATAAATAACGGAATTACACAAGTCAGCGTTTGAAATAATTCCCAGTAGTTTTCTTGGTGTACAAAGAGTACAACAGTTCTAAAGTCAACAACAAACTGCCAAAACACAATTACGACTTAATCTTTGACTTTAGTATTAGCCACCGTTATGAGATACTCGATTTCGAGAAAAACATCAAACGATGCTAAATTATTCTGGACGAGAGAATTTTTCCAATAACTTGGCAAAAAGTTGTGCGTTCATCGCCTGTACTTTCAACTCTTCGGAGCGATTGTCTTCCTTTGTGTTTTCAACTTCCAATTTCCCTTTTCGAATTTCGAGTTTCATAGTTTGTTCTGCAGCTAGTCGCTCTTCTCTCTTCTTTTCCAGTTCTAACGCTGATTCTTTGAATTGTAATTCTTTGTCTCGCATCGACTTCGAGTCTGACAAAAAATTCTGTACCATGCCGTTCTAGCTCATCCGTTCACGCTTTGGAAGTCGAACACTGTTTCCACTCTCGTCATCCGGTGCGAAGGGACCGTATCCGTTCACACGAGCATCAAAATCATCTAGCACAACAATGACATTATTTATCACAATCTTATATCTAACAAAAAAACATCGAGTTCGACAGTATTAAAAAAATACCAAATAATAATAAATAAAATATATAATACATGCTTTGATTTAAATAAAACTGGTTTCGAAAACGATCCAATAACATTTGCTATCTCTTACCGATCGGTTCATCTGAGTTTGGTTCAGGAGCCTCCGACAGGCGCATTCGTTTCTTCATGCTGTATTTTGCTGCCACCTGGAACTTTAAGTCTTTACGCGCCTGCTTTACCATCTCCTTGGTCTGCGGCTTCTGCGTGGATGCGCGTTTGGTAGCGTCCGCCTCGAATTCGAGTATATCGCACAGCAGCTGTTCTTGCTCTTTAAACGTTCCAGGATCTCCAGTGCGCCATTCGTCAAGTCTGTTTGACTTGCGAAAATCTCCAATAAATCTGAGGCTTCGTTCTCGTACTGCAAGCTGAGATATCTCCTTTAGCGGCTCGAACTCGATAAGACTCTGGTGCATCTTAAGCCACAATTCGTCAGCCTTTCCTGTGTGGTCCTTCACTGTGCACAGATACTAACGCAGCAGCCTGATGTCTTCTGCAGATGTCCATCGATGTCGTGTCTGGGTTTTGTGTTTCGCGATTTCGACCTACACAAGCGTTGGCTGGGAGGAAAAGCCGTCTTCAAAGACTGCGTACACGGTATATCGGATTCCATGACAACAAATTACGCATAAAATAATGATAAGCGAAGTCCCGAAATCTCAAAAAATTAAAATTATGATTTTAATATTTTCAGCAGTAACGCGCAGGCACAGGAACTGCTAAGTGCAAGTTGACGGTGGAAATCTGACGCTGCATTGATTAATCAACCTGATGCAGTTTAAAATTTCCTATGCCCACAGGTAGAAATGCACGAGCGAACTCGATACGGTAACTCGCAGATTTATCGTCGTGGCTCACACAGTTTAGCTGTAAACGTCACGATTTCGAGGCGGGGCTTTATTTGAGTAGAGCTAAAATTAGCGCGAATGGAAAAACTAACCTGTAGATTATTTGGAGGGTCACTGCTGTTCGTTACGGGTTTATATGGACTGGAAGTCAGTGATAAAGGGGAAAAAAAGACAGCGGCCATTCGAATGTTCTACACGTTATTTGCCCTGAATATCATAGTCTGCCTTCTTTCTTACCTGGCGGCACTGGGAGGTATGGTATTTGCAGTATTCTTGTTCATTCTGGACGCAACAATCGAGGGTGTGATTTCCCTGACTGCATCCGCCATTGCGATTCTTCTGGCTTCGACAGCAGTCATGGCTACACAAATCTGTAAGCGGAACGTCCATACAATGCTGTCAGATAATCCGGTTGTCTCCCAACCAGACGAGAAAGTTTCCTATCTCAATATAATTGTTATGGTAGATTGACTGAACTGTGGAACGGTAGCGCTGAGCTACGGAAACAGCAGCGTAAAATTAATGATTTTTGGCTATAAGACATCAGCAATGTTTTTGTACACGATAATACGAGCAGTGAAACGTTTGCTCAGTAGATGAAATACTGCCTTCTGTTGCTCTATTCTCATTTTGTCACAGACATTAATGTGGTTTTGCTATTTTGCTCTACATATTACCTTAGCAGTAAAGCTGTCAAAAATTATGCTAAGAAACCGGAAATGAATTTCAGAGTATGGTGTAGTACATAATATTACATTCTGTAGAATAGAGATGGCAACGGCTCAACCGAAGCCGTTTGAGCCGCGGCTAAGCCGGCTTCGGCTGAGCCGGCTCGACCCAAAATTGAAGCCGTAGCCGATGCTAGCCGAGCCGATTGAGCCGGCTCGGAGTGTCAGCCAGCCGCGAGCCAGCCGTAAGCCGATGTCGGCTAACGGCTTGCGCATTGTGCGCGAAAATGTGTTGGAAAGTTTATTTTTAGCTCTTTTGGCCCGTTCAAAGCCGATTTAGAGACTTGAAAAATCGACTATCTTGTAAAAAAAGTGCTGAATTTTTGTTTCGGAGACCTTTTTTTCCAATAAAAACTGATGAAAAATAGTTTTCGCTTAAGAGAGAACAGAAAAAAGTGCTTTTCAGTGAAAAAGTACTTTTGTTTTCCCGCGCTAAAAACTGTCGGCTAAGCCGCCTCGGAGTCGGCTTAGCCGGCTCGCATTCAGAGCTGAGCCGTTAGAGCCGGCCCAGGTAGGTGAGCCGATACTTTCGAGCCGGCTCGCTATTTTAGCCAGCCGCAGCCAGCCGATAAGCCATTAAGCCAGCCGTTGCCATCTCTACTGTAGAATATGAAAATTGAACAAAATACTCAGGTAATTTTACCGTTCACCAGTACCTGCGAGTTACCGATTCGTCACCTAACGCCTAGAACAACTGTTCTCCACGGAGACAATGGTATACTATAATTTAAAACGTGAAGGAGAGTTGTTTTTTGTTCTTGTTCTTCTTTATACCCCACAGGAAGGCAAACAGTCCATGTACTGTGCCATACTTGTACATATGAGAGAAGTTTGCCGGTTTTTTGCACTGCAGTAAGATTACTTAATGACCTAATGACATGCACCCGCGATAAAATTTAGCGAATCTACCAGTGGGGCACATAATAATATTTTATCTTAGTATGCACAAAAATGAAATTATTAATAAAGAAAACATCGTATTTTTGCAGTCCATTGCTGACAGAATTTTTACAAATGATTGCTAAACCGCGATCCCCTTACGAGCGGATCCTCCACATGATAATGCGGCAACACAGCTGCGGTCCATCCGATAAACGTTATCACAATGGACGAGAAAAAGAGGTTGAAATCAACCGGCCAGTGTGCGGTCGCGCCTCAGCAACTTCTTTTTGTCGTGCACTGTAGGTTGCTGACTGCAGGCTACCTGATGCACTTTTTCATACTTGTCGTACATACAGCTACATACAATCAGATTTCCGTCAAAGAGCGTACTTGTAAATTTTCAAGTTACACGATCACACGTAAGTAATAAGCATCGTTGAAAAGAAAACCGGAACCCCGCAATTCACCTTGCGGCTGTTTAAGCTTTATAAGGCAAGGGTGACACGCAGTATCTGTAACGCCGTTTTAGGCTGCCGCATATTTTGGTGCCTGTTGACAAGGTCAGACGAATGGAATTTAAAATGGCCCCATACAGAAGCATCACTCATGCAGTTACTACTGTCTCTAACAGTTCAGCATCGTTAGTTGTTTGTTGAGTTCCGAAACCTAATGCTTTTCTTATTCATCTTCGCTAACGTGCATTCACTTACATGTACAGATACCGCTACGTGTCAGTGTTGTAGTCATAATGATGTGGCATGTACAGTAATATAACGTATGTACTTTTTGCAGTTTGCCTACAGGCTGGATCGGCATTGTTGCACTCGTTCATTACGGTCTCGTAAAGCTGATTATAAAACCACAAGTCTCAACCATATTATAAAATCTGTATCCATTCTGTGAATGAAAAGTGGCAGTATAGACTAGTTTTCACACTTGTAAAAGTGATTGCGCAGTGATCTGTTCGTTAGGACTATTTGACATGGATGTGTCGCAAATTCTACACGCTGCCGTGAGTGTCGGCCAGCTGATCGGCTTAGCAATAAGGGGACTATCCGGCGTAATATCGCATCGTAGAAAAGCCAAATTAGCTGCTAAGTTGGAAGCCATCAAACAATCACATGAAGCAGCTATGCAGGAAATGCCTAGTAAGCTTGAAACAAGCTTGGAACAAAACAGAGCCAACTACGAACGGCAGCTGTATCAAATGCGCCATGCTTCTACCGCGGACAGGCAACAGCTAGAAAAACGATTTCTACGTGAACAGGAAGAAATTAAAAATAAGTGGACAACTGACCGACAGCACTACGAACAAAGAATCAATGGGTTGCTCCACAGCGTCCAACAAGCTGAAGAGCGGGTGAACTTCCTGGCGGAGCAACTCCAAAAGCCGACAAAAGATCGCGCACGGAAAGTCGCATTAGTGAACGGTTTGCAGTTACAGATTCGACGCACACAGTCGCTGTTGCTCGTTGGTCCAAAAGGTACCGGTAAGAGCACCTTTTTATGGCTATTAAATAAAGGCGCCATGCCAAGACGGACAATGGGTGATGGAACCAGCGAGATTCTTCGTTTGGATGGCTATATCGATTCCATTGGACTACGCGGATGGACGCCGGAAGAACTGTGGAAACTGCTGGTTCTCATGATTTATAACGGAATGCCTCGCGACATCATTATTTTCAGCAACGATCGCGTCGATCTTCCGGTGACTTCGCTCGGTCTGCTCGGCATAACTAATCCGATGATTGTTGTTATGTCCGGTGACTTTTGGAGAAACTATCAGCCGCTTGATGGTCGAAGACAAAAAATTGAGCTAATTGAGGATGATGAGGGTGTACGCTGGGTGTGTCCTGAGTCGGACTTAGATCAAGTTTACAATCAGCCGGTTTACAAGGACATCCGGGAGTACCATTTAGGAACACCCATTACCCATCACGAAGATATAGCTTTTCTTGTCGGCAAACGCGAAAGCGTGGGCATTCGGCCGTTCCAGTTTCTGATGGATAAACTAGGACACTGCTTCACAGTGGGAGATGGTACCGATTACAATATGGAAGCTCTTTTTCGTTTCATTTATATTTATGAAACCAAGTATCGGCGGGATGAACTCAGTTTCATGAATAATGCATCGCTACAAGATTTTTTTGACGGAGGTATATTATTGTCTGTTGACCTTGTCTGTAATTTTACTGTTATTCTTTAGTACACTGGCAGAAACATTCAGATGGGTTTGTAAAAAGCGTACCCTGGACATCTAACGCCATGCAGGGAAACATTGATCAAAGTAGACCGGAACGCAGATTAAGCTCCTCCATTCCGAATGGGTCGACGCGTCGCCCTGATGCACCAGGTGATGTCCTCCTTAAAGTTGTTTTTACTTTTCAGTTATGATGCTGACCATCCGCAGAATTTTCATTGTATGCAGGGCTGCACATGAGCTTCACTTAAAAAATATTTATAGTCAAATATTGCTCTAAATCACATCCTGGAGTTACTGCATCCAGGTTGTTGCAATGCACTAGCTAACTGTTAACTTATCTTTTTCGCTCTAACCAAGTGACAAGCAAGAAAGCGGCATCAACGAGTGAGTTGATTACAAACCGACAATTTTTTTTTCAGGTCGTTATTGTGGAAGTAGCGCTGTGCCGCAGTCTGGTGGGGCACGAGCGCAGCAACTGGAGCAACAGTGTCTAACCGTTCAGGAAACAATGTACGTATTGAGTGTCTTGAATAAAACTCTCTTAGCGATCAAGCCTTCAGGTGTGTAATCAGTGAAGCAGGTGTGCATCGTCAGAACATGATCTGTGCACTAACAGAAAGGGAATGTTAAATTATCATGTCCCGGAGTTCCACCAGTTACGAGTAAAAATGAGTTACCAAAATTTGTTAACAATTCACACCGCCGCTGGTCACATGCCAGGAGTTGACTCATAGTAGGTGGAGTACAACTAATGACCTTTGTCTCGTACCAAAAAATACTACATTTACAACTTTGCTATCACTTGGATGTCGCTGAACGAACTTCACTGGCGATGGTTACACGGACTTACACCGTTGATAAAACATTATTTTAACCGGACTAATAGTTCTAACGTAGTTGGCTAAGCAGAGAGCTAGCTTGAATACAGCTGTTGCTCAGGATTAACGATAATTTCGCTGCAGGTTAGCTACAACACTGTTAATCGGACCGATACACACGTCGACGTCACGGTTTCTTGCGACTCCTGCGGAATGTTGCTGTTCGGCACTCGATATAAATGTCTAGGATGTCCAAATTACGATCTTTGCGAAAGCTGCATGTTAAAAGGATATCATTCCCAACATTCGTTTTTGGTGTTGCGCACGACGCCCATCGGTTTTGTAAGCGATGTTCCTCTACAATCTTATCATAAAAGAGCGTGTTTATTATAGAGCATGAAAATTTTATTCTGGCAAAAAGAGATTGGAAAATCAACGAACCGTGTTTTGGTCAGGATACATTCTTTCAATCCGCGCAGTTAGAAAAGATTGTGGAAAACACGGAAACGGGGGAGGGCGATACCGAACCTTGGGGTCATGAAGTAATATGCGATGAGTGCCGTGCCTATCCGATTATCGGCACACAATTTAGGTGCATGCTTTGTGAACCCAGTTATGATCTGTGTGCGGAATGCATGGCGGAGGGATATCATACGCATCACGACTTTCTTGCCATCCGAACACCTGATTCAGGAACGATGGTAAGCGCAGTGAAAAAAGAAATGATAATTTTCCTCATTCATTAATGTTATAAGATAATATGATGATGGTTCATCTACGAGTAAACTAGCGCATACGATGCAAACACCCGCTTTTTGATCAAAACGGATAACCAATCATGCATCTGTAGTTCTAAAAGGGCTAGCAATAAGCGATAATAGATTTGCATGGCACAAATGCATTTTTGAGGATGAAATACTCTTCTAAACTGTAAATATCTGTATAGCGCACTAGCGGCAACACAGTGCTTCCATGTAATTTTGTGTTTTTTTTCATTTTTTAGGTTGAATTTTGGCAAGAAGTTTTTGCGGAAAAGTTTCCTGACCCAGGTAACTAAAAAATATCCACGTAACCATTTGTCTGAACTGCTCTAGGAAACAGCAAAAGCATCGGGAATGATATCGCAGGTACTCGTACAACTGATGCGCCAGAAAAAGCAGTGCAACATTAAGGATAAATACAATACATCAACCTTTTCTCGAGGAAAAGGTTGAAGTCAAACATTCCGGAGCTTTGGAAATGTCGGCATTATCGTGGAGAAAAATGTGCAGTCAGGATAATCGGCTAGTAATTTTCACAAAATAGTTTCGAAAGCGATACCGGAGGACCACTTCATGTCTTATCGAGATTTTCCATTTCCCAGTACGATTAATAGAAGCAGCCAATACAGCCGCTATACGCTATAGCGTATAGCATAACCAAAGCATAACTAGTGCCGCCGCTATCCTGTGATGCAGCGCAAAAGCATGCGAGTGCCAGCGAGAATACGTAGTCAAAAGAAGTCGAAATCAGTAAAATTTGTTCTGAATGCACAAAAAGCAAATACCCCATTGAAATAAAGCGCTTGCTAAAAATTAACTCGCAATTAACATACTTCGTTGGTAAAATCGCGGGACAGAGCAGCTCTTCGTACTCCTCCTTTGCTTGAATAAATGGTTTTCGTATTAAAGGTTATTTTCCTGACGATTCCGATCCGGATATTGGCCCTAATAATGAGCACTATTTGGACAACATTATGGCGCCGACAAACGACAATCAGCACGAACACTCCGACAACATCGAAGTATCCGCCAGTAACCTTTACGAAAACGATAATTATGAACATGTCCTCAGCGAATTCACAGGAAACGACAATGCAGATTACAACTTTAGTGTGATTGCTTTGGATGATTATAATTACGACAGTGATTTCGATGACACCGTTTTGTACGACGCTGGAAACTAAAATTGTATGCCCGGAGCAGTAACAGTAAGCGGTAAAATTAATGTTGTGTCAATAATAACTTCGTTGATTCTGGTTGCAAAATGCTTGCATAAGTGAAAATGCACTCGCAGTTTATTTTTAATCGCATGACAATTTACTGTCATGTACATTTGGCTCTTACAAAATTATTGCTTTATCAGAACGGATTCAATATTTTGCTGCTCTTAATGATCGATGGGACGTACGAGTACTGTTCCCTTGTTCTGCGCTGTCCATTGTTGGTCTCCTAGCGGTAGCGTGACCCTCAAATCCATCGCTGCTAGAACTTTCAATCGTATACGGTTCTGCAACTACAAAGCCCATGCAGTTGCACCTTTTTCGTTGCCGCCTGATAAGAATTTTACTGTTTTTATTGCATTTAGGTATCAATATTAATAGTACTTGGTTATGGTTCACGATATGTATTTGTCATGCAAAATAAATAGAATTCGCATGTATAGATACCACGAGTAACACGCTGTTCGCAATTAATAATGGCTAAATGTGCTTCGAGAAAGCGGCACTCACAAAACTTACAGGAAAAGGTTTTGGTCTGTGTGCTCGGGGTACTTGTACACTGGTACAGTATGTGCAGTACCGCGACTACTGGCCACATATGCTTTTAGCAAACATTCCAGTGGTACACATTTATTTATGATTTTATTATTTTAAACACTATGTACAATAATGAAATCTGTTATGATTAAGCGACATACAAAGTATAAATACAGTCTGTCAGTAAAAGGATTTCTACGAACAAAATTCCGCTGAATCTTTGGCAGAATAAATGAAACGAAACGAATATTAAGCAAACGAAAGCACATAACAAAAGACGTAGCCCTGCCATCTTATCCAAAGTTGCTGTTTACGCGCCGGATCAGCTGGCGGGATTTTCGGATTAACTCCACGTTATTGGAACCTACTGACGTCAGTACCTTCCTTTCGATTCGTATCGCTTCCACACTCCGCTCAATAACATGTATACAACTATCCATTACATCGATCCTCGTAGCGAAGACGCCATTCAGTTTCTTGGATAAAAATCCTAAACCACGATCAACCAGCGGATCCTCCACATAATGATGAGGCAACACCACCACCGTTCGTCCAGTTAGATCGCTCTGCTGCGGGTTTTTAACCTGCTCCACCACGCCAATGCCTTCGTGACCGAGAACGGTTCCTCGGTTAAACCCGCAGCAGGCTTTGGTCCCGCTTAATACGCGGCGATCGGTCTGGCAGATGCAGGCACGTAACATCCGTACGCGAACCATTCCGCTCGACAAGTTTCCCAATAACAGCTCTCTAACAGCTGCTTTGCTAAGGTCATCGTTGGGGAACACAGCAAAATCTCTCTGTTCTTTTGGTATCCGAAATACGAATTTCAGGTGCCTCTCGTAAACTTCCGGTGTGTTTAACATATCCTCGATAGCGTACTGGTTGTTCTTCTTGGAGTCGAGGGCATCAACAATCCCGGTCTGCACAAGCGAATAAAGATATGGGTACTTTAAGAGAGCCTGTATGGAAATTTCGATATCAGATTCGTGGTATCCGGACAATCCAACCAATCGAATCGCCCTGTCGGCTACTCGCACTTCCTCGTTTCGATGTACTGCTTCCAGGTCGATGCCTTCCCACACCGGCAATTCTTCTTTGGTTTTATGATTAATTCCGGAGAACAGGACAACGAACCCAGCGTCTGAAGCCTTAATGACAGCGTCCACGCTGGCTTGTAGCGTACTTGTCGCCACGACAATCAGATCCCCTTGGAGATTTTTCGGATGGAATGATGAGACCGCAATTTCCGGGAATATCCGGTGCAGAAGCTGCCGTCGCTGTTTGTGCGGCTCTATGACGTAGAGATGAGCTTTCGGGAAGCGTCGGCCAATCTCGATGAGGTGCAGGGCACCGATAGGCCCAGCACCGTATACAATGGCGGTTTGGAGCTGGAGGTATGATGGGAACTTAGTGTACGCATGCATGACACAAGCTAAAGGTTCCGCGAGGACCAAAAGGTCAAGTTCCGATTCGGTGAACGATTCCAGCAGCATTTTTAATCGAATTTAAATTTAACCGAACACAAAAACTGGTAAGAATTAAGAAGAATGGTTTAAAATAAAATTAAGTTTTAAAATTAAAAAAAATGGTTTACAATCGACAAAAGCGGAGTCAAGAGGAGAACAGAAAGCAAATCCAAATACTTTTTTGAAAGTGCAGCAGGGATATAGTAACTTTATATAAGCACGGTTGAAATCAGTATCATTTTTATCAGTACAATTTAAGATGAATCGAGTAAATTAATTACTGCAGTTTATATACGCTTCCTTAATTTTTATCCATTCCGGCATCTCCATCCGATGAGCATGTTATTTTCGATTGAGGGTTGTAACGATAAGATACAGTTACGTGCGTTCCAATACCAAGCGGATATATAGCTAGCAATTCCGATGCTGTCTTGGAGATTACGATGAAGTATAGGAAACGCTTTCGACTGTATCCCGTGACTGTCGTACACGATACCGGCAAAGCGTGTGTGCGTTATGGCTGCGCGCCGCTTCCATGCGCTTGCTGAGTCAGTAGTTGTGATGCGATCGATGTGATCTGGTTTGTTATGGTCTGTGAGTGTACATCATAGTCAAGTAACAAGCCCTCATGTAATTACACTGTGTACATGTACTGTGCATTACATGCTGTGTGTATAATAATAATATCAGCAGTAGTGTGTGTATTCTACATGCTGTACAGTCGTATTTAAGCAGTGAATTTCAGCGTTACTATTAGCTAAAAAGTGTCTTTAAAATCATCTATGCAAATTCAAAGAGCAAATTCACCTTTACACAACAATTTGGATATGGATAAAGTCGTTCTTATAACGGGAGCTTCCGGTCTTCTTGGTCGCGCTATTCTGCGGATATTTGAAGAAGCAGGATGGCAGGCTTTCGGATTGGCATTTTCAAGAGCCTCGAGGAATTCCAAGCTAATCAGAGTGGAATTACGAGATTTCGCGGCGGTAAATGATGTCGTTAGCGAAAAAAAGGTACGTCACATTGGGACTGTGAATTCGCTGCACACAAAATTCAGTTATGATAATAAATAAAACGTGTAACCTATCTGTTTTGTGAGCACTGGCTCCACTGTTGTTCTGAATTACTTTCAGCCTTCGATCATTGTGCACTGTGCGGCGGAAAAAAATCCGGATGCGGCCGAAAAACAACACGACGCAACTGACGAGATCAATGTGAAAGCAACGGAAAATTTAGCCAATGTTGCAGGTAAAAAACTGCGTAAAATCAGAATTTTTGCAAGTAGTTACATCAACTAATGTTTGATGCTACCACGGTATTATCCAGCTGGTGTTCTTCTGCAGCCGCCAACAAAGCGCTCCTCATTTACATTAGCACAGACTCGGTGTTCGATGGTTTTCACCCTCCTTATGAAGAGAATTCCTCAGATGTTAATCCTGTGAATTACTATGGAAAGACGAAATTGTCTGGAGAACATGTGACGCTTTCTCATAACGGTACTGTAATTTGCCAAGCACAACAACATGCAACATTCGTTTTGTGCGGACTAAACCTTAGAAACACTAAAATACGCTGCGATGATACTACCTCGTATTAGGATTCGGTTTTAAACCATGCAATGCCGTTTTTTAGGTATTGTGTTGCGGATACCTTTTTTGTACGGGCCCGTAGACGAGGTGTCAGAGAGTTCAATGTTAACCTTATTCCGCCAACTGGAAGAGTCCAATAAACGTGTCGTTCTATTGGATTACGACCTTCGGTATCCCACGCACGTCGACGATGTAGCACGCGCAGTCCTAACTCTTGCTGAATCTTTCTTACGGAATGTACGTTCAGCAGCATGAGCACTTGAAAATCAGAACAGCCTTCAGTGATAATATTGACAACGACGTTATTATGAACTAGGCTAAATTGTCATGACAGTATGAGTTAGTGATATTTTGCTCATTGTGTGCAGAATTCCTCGGTTAAGGGCGCATACCATTACGCCGGGCAAGAAGGTTACACAAAATACCAAATGGCGGTGCTTCTATCGAAGCTGTTCCAGTTACCACATGGCCATTTAGTAGCGGACCCCAATCCCCCAAGTTCAGGAGCGAATCGTTCGCAAGGTATAACCCCAGCCAGTAACTCGTGAACTTGGTAAAAACGTTCATTAAAATTGTAATGTAATTTCGTTGCCAACATAGGAAGCTATTCGATTTGTAAATTTGCAGCGCATATTTTACCGGTTTTTCTTGTATCTAGATCCTCGGCTTCTGTGCAGTAGATTGGCCAGCCTGCGTGCTCCAGAACCAAGGCCATTTGGTGACGGTGTGAAGCAGGTTATTCAAGACTTCAAACTGAAAACTGACACCGGAAGTGGATAAAGGCTTTCGAAAAGGGCAGCGCCGCATCAAGATTCCAGATAATGCTGTTTGTGTTTGGCAATTTGCGTGTTTTGTTCCACCAGTTATCGGTTGGAATTAAATGCTGCTTTCCAAGCGATAAAAGTTTGGACGTTGGTCTTTAAATTCATTTTCAAATTTGCTTCGTGATAACATTTTCTACCATAAAGGTTTTGCGGTCTCGCTAAGCAAATGGTGCTTCATCTCTGCGCTGAGTCTGCAAACTATTTACACTGCAAACTATTTATAGTAGACAATTTATAGAGCAAAGTAGTCTGTTTAACGGCTCCAGTAACAACAGAGCTTAAGAACGCCAGTGTGGTCTGGACTGTATTGCAATAACCCGTCATTGGTGCCTAATGGTAATAATGTCCTGCAAACCTGCACTAATAAAGAAATAAAAACTGTATGCTCTGAAATCCCGAGAATTATTAGTAAGAGTTTAATAGATCCCTAGCACTTGGTTGACCTCCTGTTACTTAGATAACTGGATTTCAGAGCTCCAGTGATTTTTAGTAGCGAAAAAACTAGTGTGTACCACCGGAAATCATAATTATTAATCGGATCGCAACACCGCCCAGATACGATTTGTTCAAGCAGAATTAGATAATTATTACTGAAGTAGAATTTCGGCATAAGGAACGATTTGTATTTCTTATTTTGCTACTCGTATCGAGTAAGGTTGGCTGATTTGTTATCTAGTGCAGCAGTCATAGTGCGACTTTCGCATAGCATGTCAAAGTAGCTCCCCGTATGCCTGCGTATCACGGTATACGAGCTGGTTTTAGACAAAATCTACTAGCTATGGGACCAAATAATTATGAGGTTTTTTACTTCTCAAGAGAATCTGGTACGTTCAAATTTACAAGCTACAAGCGCATCAGCACTTGCTAAATTCACCTCTTAATCTTTTCTGGACCTTTTTTTCCGGGTATTGATGGATTTGGTTGTTTGCTCAACAAGTTTGCGCTAAACAATGCTGTTTCCTGGACGGTGATTAGTCTGGAATGTTGGTCTTTTCTTGTTGGAATTTTGTTGTGTTACCCGCCAAGCGGCCACTGACCATATAACCGGCACACTGTGCCAGCGGTCGTCCAAGGACGTAATAATCGTATATGATATTTTACTGTTACAATTTGTATCCTTGTGTTTGTGCTTGACTGCGTCTTAACGATTGTGTTTTATGGTGTTATTTGGCGGATGTGCTTAAATGTGTTGGCATAAGCGTTTGTTGCGCGTTTTATTGCATTGCTTTGATGTGCCGATTGCATGGTAGACTGCACTTTCGAATATTTGCTGCAGTCGTGTTTTCATCGAATCGCGTTTGCCTTTTCCTGTTACATTAACTAACTTTTCATTCGTTTTCCCTTTCTGTCAGTTTGTTGAGTGTTATTAAAAGTATAACGATAACGTATCGTTGATCGGATCCGTACCGGCACACAGCATAGGTTTTATTCGCTTTACGTACACACGTGCGGCACTGAGGTTTCATTGGTGCCGAAACCGTGGAACGGAAGCGTTCCACGGCAGTGTTAACGTTTAATTTTCAAATTATTAATTCCGTGGTCACACTGTGACCTTTCATATTAGTCAGTGTTACACGTGTGGTGTTGACATCGGCCAACCTGATATCAACGCTGTTATCATACTGTGTGCGTTTGGATTATTTTCGGATTAATTCAACGTGTTAATCCCAACGGGCTGCCATGTCTACGGGCGATAGCAAGCCGATCTCCAGCACCGCTGATCCTACGGGGAAAAGCATCGTGTTGGATCCGAAGGCGTTAGCACAAGAGTTTTCAACAATGACAGTCGGGACGGATGCCAAACCACCGGTGTTCAAGGGACAAGCCGGTGAGGACGTTGACCAATGGGGGCGCCGGTTTAAGACCGTCGTGGCCGCATTGGAGTGGGATGAAGCGAAAAAGCTACGACAGATACCGGTGTATCTGGACGGCTTCGCCGCTACCTGGTTTGGAAAGGTCAGCGATGATGGCCGTAAGAAACCCTATGCCACATCCGACCTGCTCCTGGAAGCGCTCATCAAACGATTCCAGACGGAAGACTATCGGAACCAGCTGAAGCAGCAGCTACGCAACCGCAAGCAGAAGCGCGGAGAACCTCTCGAAGACTATTTTAATGACATCGTCGGTCTGTGCGACAAGATCAACCGCGACATGGAGGACGACGAAGTCATCCATAAGCTGCAGGCGGGATTGCTCCCCGAATACCTAACCCGTCTAGCCTCAACGAATGTGGCCACACGAACGGAATTCCTATCTGCGATGCAGCGTGTGTCCAACATTCTGCGCCTGGAGGCGAAGAATCGCAACGCGGAATGGAAAGGTCACTATCCCGAGGCTACGTACAGCGGGGGTGGGAACGGAAACGGTTCTGGAGGAAGAGGATACGGTGAGGGGAACGGGAACGGCAACGGAGGAAACGGTCGCAACCGTTACCGCGGTTACCGAAGTGGTAACCAGGCGGATGGTCGACATGCTGGTGCGGCCGGTCAGGGGTCATCGTCAAAGGTCACCGAGCGGCCGGTCCGCAGATGCTACAACTGCGAAAGGACTGACCATCTGGCACGCGATTGCCCAAAGAACAAACCCACCACCCAGCCAAAGAACCAAACCGGTGGGTCTGGATCAGCGCGCTCCCTCATTGTGGGTCAGAAGGAAGCAAAGGTCACCGCGTCGGACGCCAATGGCGGTACGGAACAGGCCTGTGCGAACGGTGCGGACCTGGAGGTCAACACCAAGTGGGTTACGGAACCCGGCACGAAGCCTGTGTGGTATACAATGGGACTTGGAATGGACACTGTAGGTCAAGCGACCTGCAACATGATGCGAGTCGGTACGTACAACGGTCGTGCCGCGCACTTCGAAGAAGGTTCTGAGAAGTACACGCGGGGTATCCTGCAGAGCCAGCTACGACATCCAGTGCACATGCTGGCAGTGGCACGGGGTAACCGCTGTGGGAACGAGTCATATGTGGTGCAGGACGGAGCCATGTTGGAGGTCCGGACCCGTATGACCTTTTCCAGTTTCGAGTTGTTCAGTGTGCGAGGTTACCTGGGCTTCAGTACCGCCACCGTGTCCGAGGTGGCGCGTGGCTGGCGTACGGACAGCAGCACGGAGAAGCGCCGAAGGAGCCTGTCGCGAAGATATGCTGACGACACGGATGGACGCCGACGTTCGGCGCGTTCAAAATCTCGGGAGAAAATCCTGAGCCTCCGCCGGGAGCGAAGTATGGATGGCAGGTCTGGCTTGGCCAGCGGGACATGCCGCCGGAGTCGTTCCGCTTCTCGGATTAGGGTCACGTCGGGCCGACGTGGCAGTGCTACAATAGAGAGCGCGCGCAGTAAGGTAGCACCACGGAGGAGCAATACGCTGATCGTGGAGCGAGCCAGCAGGGGCACGGAGACGATGCACCGGGTGCCCCGAAGTACGTCGTCTACTGCTGGAGTAGGTGGGGCAAGAGAGAGTAACCAGCGGCGCCGCGTAACGCCCACCAGTCCTGAGCACGGATCGGTCGTCCAAGACGAAGGAATGGACCCAATTAACGCGTACGTGAATGCACGATCCACCGTTTGGCATCATCTGGCCGGCGTGCCACCCGGCTGGGCGGATGCAACGATGGACCTGGACCATCCGTACCACCTCAACGTGGTGACCACCACCGGACCGAAAGCCAACGACAACGTTGACAGCCACGTGCCGTTCACGGGAGGAACGGAGCCAATTCCAGTTTCCGGTGAAATTCTCCTCATGGACATCAAGCTAGCCGGACGTGACGCATTGGCCCTGTTGGACACCGGAGCGAGCATCTCCATCCTGAACCAGAAGAAGATATAGCCCTAGTTTACGGTCAGCTCCGAATCGGTCCGGTTTTCGACCGGCCCGCGGTTCGGCTCGGGATCGGTTCGTTTTTCAGTCGGTTTGAACCGGACTGAAGCCGATTGTCCCCTTTCTTTGGTTCATATGAACATGTATGAACAGGAATGACACAGACTGTACTTTAAACAGAGAAAGCCCAACACAACCCGGCAAAAGCATAGCAACAGGGGGCAGGGAGACCCCAAAGGGTTGGGCCCCCGAGGGGTTGGGCCCCCGAGGGGTTGGGCCCCCGAGGGGTTGGGCCCCCAAGAGATTGCGCCCCCGACGGCGTTGGTACTTCGCTCAACAGACTAAAGGATCGCTATAATATAGATGCAGTACGCAGAAAATATTTCGCCTTGCTCCCGTTGATAAAAAATTCCTTGGTTTGCCAGATTTCCGGGGGAGAGCGAATGGTCCGGCCAGTTTTCAAAACTGTTGAAGCAGTTGATCACCTGTGTCATATCCATTTTGACAACCATACTGCACACAAGCAATGAGCTATTTGCGTTTATCGTAATTCTGAATCGTTCAAGTCAAGACAAAGCCTCATACACAGTATGCTTGCTAGCTACTGAATCGTCGGTGATACAAACAGGACAAGAAATTACCTCGAAATCTCTTGCAGAATGACTTATTAGCAAGCTGGGATACATTCAGGACAAGAATTTACATCGAAATCTCTTGCAGAATGACTTATAAGCAAGCTGGGATACATTCAGGACAAGAATTTACATCGAAATCTCTTGCAGAATGACTTATAAGCAAGCTGGGATACATTCAGGACAAGAATTTACCTCGAAATCTCGTGCAGAATGACTAATAAGCAAGCTGGGGTACATTCAGGACAAGAATTTACATCGAAATCTCTTGCAGAATGACTTGTAAGCAAGCTGGGATACATTTAGGACAAGAATTTACATCGAAATCTAATGCAGAATGACTTATAAACAAGCTAGGTTGCATTCAGGACAAGAATTTACATCAAAATCTCTTGCAGAATGACTTATAAGCAAGCTGGGATACATTTAGGACAAGAATTTACATCGAAATCTCTTGCAGAATGACTTATAAGCAAGCTAGGATACATTCAGAACAAGAATTTACATCGAAATCTCTTGCAGAATGACTAATAAGCAAGCTGGGGTACATTCAGGACAACAATTTACATCGAAATCTCTTGCAGAATGACTTGTAAGCAAGCTGGGATACATTCAGGACAAGAATTTACCTCGAAATCTCTTGCAGAATGACTTATAAGCAAGCTGGAATACATTCAGGAAAAGAATTTACATCGAAATCTCTTGCAGAAAGACTTATAAGCAAGCTGGGATACATTCATGACAAGAATTTACATCGAAATCTCTTGCAGAAAGACTTATAAGCAAGCTG